AGTCTAAGTCCATCCAGTTCTTCATTTAAAAAAGAAGGAAATAATAATAATAATGTATAAAAAAATTTAAATAATTAAAGTTTAGATAGTGGCCTACTTAAGTATGCTTTATTTTCTTCTATCGTGTTAAAAAAATTTTCTCGTAAAAAATCATTTTATATTCACTTTGATGTGTCATCCAATTAATTATAGTTAATCCGTTAGAATTAAAAATTTCCATTAATTAAACTTATTTTTTCTCTTCTTCCTTCCAACGTAACAACTGAGTGATGATTAATAAAATTTTATGAATAATTAATTTTATTATTATTAATACTGAATTTTAAAAAATATATTTATTTATTTATATTAAAATTGTTTTTTTTGTCATAAATAACGATAGATGGAGACACGCGGAAAATTCAAATTTGAAAACCGTTTTAACCGTCATCCTTCAGGAAATCGAACCGAGGATCATATGTCTATTACAATTTACGTTTTTTCCGTTATATTGAGCTGGTTCATTTGATTTAAATTAATTTAATTCGCATAATATCATCAATATAATTATTAAAATAAATTAAATTATTAAATAATAATTGTTTTATCGGCATTCAACAGTTTTTTTAAAGAAGCATTAGCATTAATTTAAAAGTTTTGCCCTTGTTTCGTTAAGACATTAATCGTATTTATTTGAATTAATTATTGATTAATTGTGTTGTCTTTTTTCTTATTTATCCAATTAAAATTATTCGTATTTTTAACGCAATGACATATTTTGAACTATGAGAAAAATAACATTTGCAGAAATAATTAGTGAATTGCATTATATAAAAATTATATCTTGATTAATTTAAATAAATTTGGATCTGTTTTTGCAGCAATTTATCATAAAACTTTCATTAAAGTTATCGCTTTTATAATCTTTTAATATATTCACAGTTTTTTTATAATAAAAATATATATTTATAGTTTATTAAATGGTTAATGTATATATTTCTAAAAATTAATTTTAAAAAAATACGAGAAGAATTAACTATTTTACAGTTATTTGTTTATATTGAGCGTTAAGGTTTTGATATTTGTGCTGCTTTTGAAAATCAGCCAGTGGCGCGTTATAGCTTCAAGGGACCCAGGAGAATTTTAATTAGGGGCCCCATGTACAATGTTGACTTCAGACATTTTTCATCGGGGGAAAGTTTTAGGAGAAATATTTTCTTATTAAAGATTGGTTTGGGGATTCCTATTGGTGGGGGCCCCAGGCAATTGGTCTTTTTGCCCATTGGATAACGCACATCAAAATCAGCAGATGTACTGTACAGCCTCGGAATTTTAACACTCAATTTAAGTTTATGGAAAGAAATTTTTTCATTCGGACGATTTTTTTATTTGTTAAAGATTTTTCTTAATTTTTAATCTTATTAAGCATCCACAATTAATTATCAGAAATTGCACTAATATTATTAAAATGACCTTGACCTTTCTTGACCTATATAATGTTTAAAGCCCTCCTGAAAGATGATTTCATTCTGGATGAAGTAGGGCCTTTCAAATCCCGAGAGAGAGACCCAATTCGCTTATCTTTAGGGTCCTCAGCATATAAAAAACGAAAAAATGATAAAAGATATTTTTATAATGTACAAGGAATGCAATTGTATGAATAATTAATGACGAATGTTTTAAGGCCTTGCGTCACGTGGCTTTGCTAGCTCTCTGTGATAGACAGGGCCAGATTTGTACGTAAGCTAAATAAGCTCAATTGAGGCCTCGTGTTACGAGTCTATAGCGTAAGGCCTCACAATTTACACGTATCATTATTTGGTGGAGAGAAAAGGCCTGTTATATATTACAGCTTAGGCTACACAAGTCTAAGTCCATCACTTGTGATAGGGCCTGATGAGTCTTTAAATTTAGTGTTTTTGTAGTGTGTTTAGTGAATTTTTCAAAGCGAATTTTTACTCTATAGGGATTGTCTTTTTTAATTTTCAAATTCAGTTCGTAGGTAACGTGTTTAATTGTTAAAAATTATAATAAAACAAATAAAGATTTTTCGTTTTAAGATAATGAATTCGATAATTTAAAAATGTTTAATTTTTAATTAAAATTTTTCTTTATTTTTATTCTGATTCAATGTTGTTTACGTTCAAATTTAATTTTCTTATTTATTATTTCTAGAAAAATTCGAGGCAAATAACTTAAGTATGAATAATTCAAGATGAAATTTATAAAAGAGTTTTTGTTTATTTAAATGATTTTTCGATTCTGAATGATTTCAGACGAACTATTAAAGCAACATATGCTTTAATTTTTAAATTTATTATTTTTATTTCTTTTTAAAAAAACAACTTTTATGAATATATAAAATTAAATTAACTCGCGGAATAATTTTAAATTATTTGTTTGAGTTAACGCTAAATATGCAGAGTGCCTTGCAGAGATGTTTATATATTTAGTGATTTTTTTATTATAAAATTATATTTTTAATTTATTTAATTTAAAATATATGCTCTCGATCTGAAATTAGTAGTGCCTTACCCCTGTACATCATACTTTCCCTGATAACAGCAGAGTCATGCAGGTCATCTATGTAATTCCGTTCCGGGGAAACTTTTAAATTAAAATCATGCGACTTTTGGTCTAGACCGGAAGTTTGTATATAGTTAATCTGAGCCTCTTGCCCTTAAGATTTCCAAACCTGCTATCTTCTTTCATCTATTTAACACTGTTCTCGAGATCACCGTTTACGGATAGACAGATGGACGACAGTTGGCATTTATAGGTGTACAATCTTTTAAAATTGCAGCCAATAATCAAAAATTTTCTAGATAGATTTGCTAAATTAGCGCAGAAACCTACCTTCTTACCTGCATACAGGGCAGGATTTAGATTCGATGTGGCTCTCTTTACCAATTAATAATACTAATTTTAAAAGCGTGAAGCCCTAAACTGTATCCTTATAACAGAGGCCCCTAAATTGTATCCTCGTAGCAAGGATCTCTAAGTTGTTTGTTTACATCTAAATCCATTCCTATATATACACATACATTTTCATCTAACACATCTGATTACTCCAGCAAGGGAAGAGAAAATTTACTTTACATAAAAATTTATTAATGAAATTTTTACTAATTAAAATTAAATTAAAATAATAATAATTAAATATTTATTAATTAAGAATTCTTAGATTTAACTAAGGAAATATACTGGAAAGGGAGTTAGAAAGACTTTGATATATGATAAATGATGGAAATAAATCTAAAAACAACTTTTAATACATTTTATCATTATTAATTTTATAAGATGATTTAATTCGGAAAAAATTGACGTAAAAACTAAAATTATCGCTTAAATTTAATAATTTTTAAGCTTTTTTAATTCAGTTTTTTATGGATTTATCAATGAAAACATTTGTTTTAAATATGACAGAGCTAGATAAATTCTGGATTAGAAAGATTTCTTAAGAATGATAACTTTTATCTCTTGTTAATCCGGAAAAAAGCAGAGTAAACAATGAAAATCATGCTGATAAATTAACACATAAGTTAAAAAATTCCTATCATAACATTAAAAATTTTAATAAAAAACGTCTTAAGATAACCTTAAGAAGTTGTAGAAATATAATAAACTTACATACAAATTAAGTTCTTATTTTAAAAATTTTTCCCGTTAAAACTCTCGAAAAATGCAAAGGTTTCAGAAGCTGATAAGCGATTTATCTAAAGAAATTCTACTGTAAAAGAATTATAACAATTCATTTATCAATTTATAACAATTATTGGCGAAACTTTTCGGACATAAAATCCCCGCGTGTCCATTATTTTTATCAAAATAAGATACATCTTATTACAACTGTAATAAAAATATATGATGATTCCTTAACGAGAGGAAATATGATAATGTTACTCATATTTAAATTATATTTGAATTATCTGAATGTTTTATACGGAAAAATAAATGTATAAAAGAAAAGTTTGATCATAAAACAGGGATAATTTGTGTGTTTTCGTTGGTTTTAATGTTGCTCTTCTCCTCTCCCCCGTCTTTTCCCTTTTTTTTTAATGCTCCTAGTTTAGTTTACCATGTTAGCGAGTATGAAACTAATTTCCCCTTTTCCATTACTAATTAAACGTTGTTGAACGAGCTTCTCTTCTTTTAATATCGAGAGACGAGTTTATAATTATTTTCGCCGGACTAATAAATATTGAGGAGATGAATTAATCCGCATGTAAAAAAGGTTGATTGATTGTATATGATTATTTTAATTTAATCCAAAGTTATGGTTAAGATTAAAGATAATCTTACCATACTTCATTAAGTGCCACATCATCCATAACTCTTTACGATCTTTAACTATTTTCAATTATAATTTTCTTCATTTTCTTTTAAAGCTTTGTTAATCACAATCATTGGACTGCAATTTGAAAAAAATTGTAGACCTACACTGTCTGTCGTTCCTTAATCTCAAGAAAGATGTTAGAGAGATGAAAGTAGAGACCAGATATGAAAAGCGGGTAGGAATCTCCGAACTATATACGAACTACGAACTTCCGGTCTAGACCGGGAGTCACGTGGATTTAATTAATTCAAAAATTTCCCCAGAATGGAGTTACATGGATGACCTGCATGACTGTTGTTATCAGGAAAAGTATGATGTACAGGGGCAGGACAGAACTAATTTGAGATGGCGAACATAGATTTTAAATTAAATAAATTAAGATTATGATTAAAAATTGCAGCTCGGATTAATAATTTAATTTCTTCTTCCAGAGAGTCGTCTTGACTATAGTAAACATAAGCAAAATCGTCTATCTCTTCCACGAAGGATTCACCCCCGTTGTAAGATCGACGAGTCGACCTAAATGGTAAATTTTATAAGATTTTTAAACTTATTTATATAATTAAATAAAGTGTTTTTATATTTTTTTATATATAAACATCCAATAAAACTAGAAGAATTTCTTAATATAAATCCTGGAAGCGAAACGATTGTAGAGTATCAATGTGTCACCTCGAATATTTTAAGAATGTAAAGAATAAAATGTTTTCAAACAGCTTAACATCACACTGTGACAAGTTAGTAAACAGAAAGTAAAAAACAAGGTTTTCGTATCCAGAAAAAAAGCCATTTTCCACTTTTATAGACGTTGTTAAACATATCTACTTAGCTTAATTTCTGGCTTAATATTCGCTAAAATTTCGCGATAACGACGAAGATAAACACGTAAACATCACTTGACTCAACAAAGGAATTTCCTTTTTTAAAGTTAATTATCGAGTAAACTGTAATCCTTCGTGCATTCAATCTCGACTGGCCGTTCCAGTTGTTAAGTACTATAAGACATATCTCTTGTAAAGTATTTATAAATCAACAAATTTAAACCGGAATTTTATTTATGTGACATGCCCTTAAGGCATAAAAGACCATAAGAAGAAATAAAACGACTTAGGATTTCTAAATCGATATTATAGTAAAAAAAAATCAACGTAATCAAGCGAAGAACGAATGCGAACGGGGTAATTAGACTTGCATGAACGGCTCCGACCGAGAATTTAATTTTCCTGCATGTTCTTAAAACTCTCCAGTAGTCTCCATGGAAACTCTCACTTCCAGACACATTGATACCCTCTATGGAGTTACAGGCGAAGAGTATATAATGACAGTCGACTCTTTCTTATCCTTTGCTACCTCATCCTTGAGGCGAGTCGTCATCCCCCTCTTTGTTTAATCTGCAGGGAAAAATTGTTGTTAAAGAAGTTATGCTTAATTTAGATGATGGTTTTTGGTCTTCCCTCTGATTGTTGAGTTCAATTAGAGAGTTTATTTTACCTTATCTTCACTTGGGAACGTTTTTTCTGCATCACTCGTTTAATTCTCATTGTGTAATTTGCTTAAAACTGCACGGTTTTAAAAGGAGGATGCCTGATGATTTTTTTCCTGCTTCTAAATTTGATGTTTACTTAAGTTCTTCCTGCTCTTTTACGTTATCGTGGGATAGAACACGGGACGATATGGAAGATCCGCCATCATAAATGATTTTTATCGTTCATCATAAAAAGCCACGTTCAATGTCAAAGTTGCCATTAAAGTGATCCACCCGGAATGATATTATTTATAGAACAACGATCGGTAATCTTTATTACTATTATATTATTGATAATAAGTTAATAATTTTAATGGGATCTTCCTAAATTACAAGCATTACCAGGCTAGCAGTCGAAAGAAAATTCGAATAAGAATATATGACACTTGAGTTGGCTCGTAGATTTAAACTTTCTTTGACTCCAGCGAGAATATGTGAAAGACAAATGAGTTTTCTTTTCCATAAAAGGAATAAAAAAAGAAGTAGAGGGTAACCATGTTCTCCAGGGTGTGACAATAAATCACTAGAGGAAATTTTCCTGTTATGCAGATGTCTTTCTGTTGTCGATCACCGATGTTACTTATATACGTTTCTCCGGAGAATATTAAAATATTTTCTTTATAGCAAAGATAAATTGCTATCAATGTTATGTTTTAGTTGATGATCCCCCCTTTAAACGTTTCCTTTATTTAACAATCGAGTGAATAAAACATCGTTTATTTGTCTTTAAAATATACAGATTCTTTATTATTTTCTTTTTGACTTTTCTATTCTATTTTTTCCATTCTCTCTCTCTCTCTCTCTCTCTCTCTCTCTCTCTCTCTCTTTCTCTCTCGCTCTCTTATCATTCTCATTCTCTTTTTACGATTTTATCTTCTCAGTTTTTCTCTCTCCGGATTTCCAAGTCTTCCTGTTCTTATGTATACTTTTTTCCGTTTATTTCTTTTTACTTTCTCTCGATTTCTGTGTCTCATTCAGTTTATTTTGCTTTGTTTCTCTTTTTCTTAATCTTGTTCACTTTCTCTTCCTCCTTTTCTTAGTTTTTCTTCTTTTTCTATTATTTGTTCTCTCCACTTTCATAACTTTCTTACGAAGATCTTCAAATTTTATTTCGAATATTTCCTGTTTGTTTCATTATAACAAACTTTTATGTTTCGTTTAGCTGATTTTTCTCCGTTCTTACTGCTATACATTACATACTTTTTTCCACTTTTTCATTCTTACAATTTTCCTCTTCTCGTCTCACAGAATTATAATTACTTTTCTAAACTCGATAGGCTTTTCTTTTATTATTGTTAAAATTCAAACATTTCTGTAGTTTTTGACATGCAAAAGGTTAAGCAAATGGTATAATTTTATTTTTTATTCTTAATTTTAAGCTTGATTAAAATTAAGAATAAAATTTTAATCAAGTTTAAGATTAATAATTTATTTATTTATTTTATCGCACTATTCTAGAACAGAGAAATGGCAAACGATGCTGAAAACATCATTCGAAGATGATCTTTAAATGACACAAAATGATGATGACGAGCTTTCGTGATAGCGAAATTTTATGCAGAATATTTTCTCTTTTGTTTCTCTCACCTTTCTCTTTTCTCTTCTCTCATCTCTCGTTACGTTAATTAATCTCCAAACTTTCCTAATTATTATCATACTTCTGTTAATCGTTAAACATCATATAATTAATTATACAAACAGTCCACCGACGTTACGTCAGCAAAATAATAACTTAAAAAAAGAAGAAGAAGAGGAGAAGGAGGAAGAAGAAATTAAAAAATGCAAAAAGTACAAATAAGTAAATAAATAAACATACTTTAGAATCAAGTGATGATGCGGAGTAAACAATAAATAAATAAGTAAAAAGCAAATTAAATGAAAAAGAGAAGGCAAAAGCTGACTAAGCGACCAGTTGGCAAATCCGATTATTGTTTCAGTGGTCATTTTTTTATTTTCTTCTTCTTTTTTTCCTCCAACGAAGAGCATCCTCTTAACGAGTCTAGACTTGGAGTGTTCCCTCTTCTCCCTTGGGGTTAAAGAAATGAAGTTTGTTGCAATCGTTTCCTTTTTTTCCCTTCTTCTATCCCCCCTCTTTGGCATGGGGGAATGTTTGTTGCTTCATTACAATCAACTTTTAAGTTCATCTAATGTGCAGCCTACTCTAAAAGCATCTTCAAGTAGTGGTTATTCAATTTTCTAATTTTTCTTCTCTCTCTCTCTGTCTTACTTAAGAGAAAAATTTTAAAATTTCCAACAATCTTTCATTTAAGAGAACATTTTAAGTAAGATATTGGTGTGAATAAAGTAACCGTGTGGCATTTTTCTTCATATATTTTTCAAGTAAAAGCAGAATTCGGTATGTAGATATCATTCAAATTTTTAATTTTGTAAAAAGCAAAATTTTAAGTTTAAATCATTTGAATATTTATATTTAAATGTTTTAAATTTATAATTAGAAATTAAAATATTTGAATATTTTACTAGAAATTATATGTATTAATATTTATAAATGATAAATTGAGTTAAAAAATTTATCGACAAAAATAGCATCTTCTGTTCAAATTATCCTTCTGCTCGCTCCTGTAAAGGGCCTACATACAGTAGAGTGAGCCAATAGGACCTTGCATTTATGAGGGCTTAGAAAACACGTACAATTGTCAAATTTTATTATTTAAACAGCAATTTTTAATATATTGGAGGCCTCAAAGAGGTAAGTGGTTGGAGCATCTCTCCACACATGAAAGGCTCTTATACTGCGCAATATTCTATTTAAAATTAATAATAAACGAGTAAATTCTATCAAACAATTATAAAATTATTTTAATTTCTGCTTAAAATTATCACATTCAAGCAGAAAAATCATCGTTTTATGCTTAAAATTTACCGCCTTTTATTTAAATCGTTATATTTAGTTCTATTATAATAATTTTATTCTGGTAACAGAAGGAAAATAATGATCATTTCCTCTTTTATACAGTCGAAAATTCTTGGAATTAAAATATATAAAAAAAATGTTAAAGGTCAAAGCGGTATTTAATTTTTTTAATTTCCGTCATGAAGAAAAGCAAGCCCCACCCTACCATAAAATAGCAATTCTAAATGCGGAATAAACTGCAGAAAACTTGTGCAAAAACTCTTTTATTTTATGTATCGAGAATGATAAATATTTCGAATTATTGTTCGCATTTGACTGCATTTTTCGAACGATTCATAGAGAAAAAATAATGGAGGACATTTGTTTAATTATCTTTCGGTTCATAAAACTTCGTAAATCAATTATGAATAACTCATTTTGTCATTATAATTGCCCTTTTTTGAGCTAATATTCGTTCGTAGTTAGAAATATATTCACTAATTACCTTATATATGGAACAATTCTTTAAAAGGAAAAAAAATGCGTTCTTTTAGCACACATTTTCGCGTAAATTTCTCTAATTTCGTGAAAATTTTCGCGTAAATTCACTGAATTATCATTTAATTCGTAACTAAAGTTAAATACGATTAAATTTAATTCACTTTTTCAGCATTTAAACCACTAATATTAGGGAAAAGCCATTAATTACGACATTAAATTGATGCTGAAGTGCTAAAATTTAAGTTTATATAATAAATTTTAATATAAATTAAAGGTTAATGCGATTATTTTCTGCAATATTGTACGAAATAATTACTTTCCCTATTGGATATGAGACCAATTCACAACATAAGTTGCTTATATGCTCTTATATGCTATAGATCTACTGGCATCAATACTAATGTTGCCTTTGTGAAGCGAAAGAGAGAGAGGATTTGTCAGTCAGAAACAGGGATAAGGGCATAGAAGACAAGAATCCCCTCCTGACCTACGAAGTGACCAACAAGGAAAATCTTTCTAGCAGAGGTGCAGCGTAGTATAGCAAACCTTTACACCATCTATCGATTATCTGACCTTCTATTCAACTCTAATTCGGTTTCACTTTGTGAGTTCGATATTGGAGATTTAATTTTTTTTAATATACTGT